AAAACTTTAAACTGCTGCTGCGCCAGTTACTCAGCAGGTCGTTGCTAGGCAACCAAAGTTGGGAGGCGGGACTTTAAACTGCTCATTTCCCAGCAGGTTGTTGCTAGGCAACCAAAGAGTGAGTGAGTCAGTTGATTCCACCAACTTAGCTTAGCTGGCTAAAGCTTTTCCTCTGCTGACATCCCCCAGAATGCTTTGCAGTTCAGTGAAACCACTGGATATTCTATCAGACGTGTTATCTGTTGATATTGATCACGTGTCTGTCGCATTGCACATTGTTATAGATTGATTGTCCAGCCCTTAGTTCACTGTTGTAGACAAACAAAACGTGGCAAAGCATAATTTTACATGCAGTTATTCACAACTGAAGCAACACTGAACTGCTTCAACAAATAAAAATGAAAAAGCAATCAATAAAAAAAGCAGTAAATTAATGAAAAAATTGTCCTTATTCAGAACTTATTTACCTTGACCAGCAGAGTTAGTCTAAAGTAATTATTTAATTTAATGTAGAGAAGTTGTGCTGGCTTTAATAAGCCTATAATAACCTTCCTAAAGAAAAGAAACTTGATCATTTGGGTCAGTTTCCTCTGTAAAGTCAGACCTTTTCATTGTTTTTAGGGGTTTGCATCAAATGAATATAAAAAAACTTTTACTTCATTTTCTAAGTAGTTTCAACATTTGTAGGACATTTTTGTATTTCACCCCATATTTTATCAGAAAAATATAAATTATATAGATTTTATTTTATTGCAATAATGCAAGAAAATACAAAAAAAGGTCTCAGTTTGCATTAAATTACTGCTAGTAACTAAAGGTTAAATAAAGTATATAAATGGATGAAAAATGTTTGAGTCACTAACCACTGGATAACCTGTTAGCATTAGCAGTAGCACAGGTAAAACATTACCTGTCGTCACCAGAATTCACATTTATTGGGTCTTATTTTGAAAGAATCAGACAGGAAGCCAGTGCTCAGTTTGTAATAAATGACGGTTTATTATAAAGATTACAATCTGTCAAAGAGCTCATCAGCTGTCATCGTGTGCTCTCCGGAGCTTAGAAAAGAGAAAAACTGCACGTACACGCACGCCACTCACTCCAGAAGAAACCACAGACATACTGTAAAAAGAGGAAGCTAGTGAGGAAGAGGAGGAGGAGGAGGAAGGATTTACACGCAGGTTCAGAGAGTCGGGATCTCAGCCGGTCAGCAGGAAGCAGAAGAGGCTGCGGGGTTTTCCTGATCGTTATTCCGTCTTTTTCCATATTCGTCCTGGTTTTCATAACTAGCTGCTGATCTGTTAGCGATCCCTGTTTTAGTTTGACCTCACTCTGCAGCGCCCCCTGCTGTGAAAATCTCCAAAGTAACCAGTTATAAACAACTTATAAAAGCACATTTACTGTAGTATAGATGAGCGGAAACCAGGAAATTTTATAATTCATGAATTAAAACGGATTAACATGGTGGATAATAAAAATAAAATGAAGTAGTTTCAGTTTATTTAAATGTTTTAAGAGATTTTTGTCTCTTTTTGTTCAGATTTATGAAGCTTAACCTCTCATATTGGGAATATTGCTGATATTCTTGCACATCCTAAAGTCACTTTTTATGTAATATAATTTTTTAGTTGATTATCTATAACTAGATCAGTAATTAATTCGCTATTTTTCTATTTTATTTGGTAAAAGCAAAATTAAAAGTATTTTCCACCTTATTCTGCGACAGAAATATTAAATAATGACCTATAGTATCTTTCCACAAACAAAAAATTTATATATATTTCCTTGCCTTAATTATTAGCTGGAAATTAATTTGTCAGCGTCCTCTGGTGGCTGAAAGTTGTAAAAACGATTTGAAAACAATTTTTAGCGCTTATCGGTTTCCTGTTTTAGTTTTGGATTTAAATTTTATAAAACTGTCCTGTCATGTTTCTGAATCACAGCGAGGCTTAAAAACAATTTAAATTCAATCTTTATTGGTCTTTTCTAGCGTTCTAATTTTTACCTGCTGGACCAGAACTTGACCTCTGACCTGTCCAGTGTTTTTTCCACCAACAGCTGCTCTAACAGATATTATAAAGGCTTTATTCTAATATAATGTTTTGCTCATAGACTGTACATTCTGCATTTCAGGGGTTTCTATAAAATATTCGCTTTGTACAACTTTGGGATCATGATTACAGCTCGGCAGAAGGACAGAGACGTGTTGTCATGGTAACAGGCACTGAGCGTTGATTGTGCTTCGGGGGGAGGGGCGGAGGAAGTTTTTACTGGGGCCTCGGTTCCCACCAAACTGGTTCCAGTTCAGATTCAAAGACCAAACCCTGCAGGATGTTCCTGGACTTTCTGATGTGTCAAATCTGAGACGCTCACTGAAAGCTTTTAAACATAGAGCTGCGTTCACAATTATCGTCTGTTTTCACTGGATTTACAAGCTTTCGCCCGTTTGGAAAAATATTTTTTAAAATACTTGTAATTCCACGCATCCTTAAAAAGTCTTAAATTAATTTGACTAAAGAAATTTGATCTTATATTTTATTGTCTTAACTATTTAATTTTGTATGTAGTTTTGTTTTAATTTTTTGTTCTTGATGGACTTGTCTATCTAGCAAAAGTCTGAGTTGCGCGCAAAGATCTTCAGCGGTTTAGCTAAGATGCCCTTGCTAACAAGCTAGCTAGCATTTTTTTGGATTCATCATTAGTTGTTGGCTGGATGTTTGTTTTTGCCACTGGCTCAATTTTAAGCATTATATATTTATTCCCTACATTTGTAGTTTTTTCTGTCTTAAATTCCATTCAAGCTGGCATTAAAAAAAGGTCTTAAAAAGTCTTAAATTTGATTTTCTGACACCAGCCGATACCCTGTGTTTTATGGAAGATAACAACCAACAGCTCATCATTATTCGTGCGTCTATTGTTGATTTTTACTTCTGTAATTACACTGCAAACCTCATAATAAAAGGGATTAATGATTTGTGCGAGGAAATTTTGACATGAATCCATTTTACTGGCTTAGTTTAGGATTTTTACTATATCAAAATCAAAATACTTTGCTAGTTTTGTACTAATATAGGATTTCAGTAAATAAAACATATTTAACGGTTGCTTGAACGGATGCGTGGATGACATGTATCAGAAGATGAGCTTAAAGGAACTACCACTGGGACCAGTTTGGTGTTTTTAGAAATACGTTCTGTTTCTTTAAGAGCTTCTGTTAATCAGGATGGGCCATAAAGTGCAGCAAGCATTAATTAGCTAAACATCAGGAACTGAACGACATGTGAAACTAATTCATTTATTAGCTTTATTACAGCAGCTGAGATGTTTCAATGTGAACTGGAACAGAACTTTTAAAACCAGTAATTTAACATTTCACTGCAGCTTTGTGCTGGAATAAGACACTATATATTCATACTTATATATGTTTTATATACACAATATAATTTATTTAGCTATAGCTCTGAACTATTAAATATTCCTTTGGAAGTTGAGTGTATTGGAACGTTTTCAGTGTGGTTCATCAAAATCCCATAATAATATATAAATCTAACTGCTGTAAACACGTAGCTGTTTTTTAGCTAAGTTCTAGTTAAATTTTCCGCTTTATTGGCACAAAAATCGACTCTGTTCAGGTTTATAAAAACGTACAAACATCTGGATGTGACGGTGTTCCCGTTTGCCTGTTTTCATGTTTGGATTCAACTCCACTTATGGCAGGGAAAGCATCCCGTATATGGCAGGGGAGGAAACTCCTTTTATGGCCTGTTCCTGTGCGACCTTGTTCAGGGCGTTGTGATCGTTTAGTTCCTGGCTGCTTGGTGGGAAGATGCATGAGGAGGAGGAAGGTAGAGTCTGTACAGATGGCTTTGAGCAGATAGCACCGTGTACAGTAAGCCCTCAGAAAGCAGGTAAAACCCTGAAACACACCAACGCCACGACGTCATCGACAAATCATCATGAACTCCAGGGCCTCCGCCGGGAATTCAACTCATTGTCAAATCATAACTACACATCTGTTTCCAGACGACTAAAAGCTCTGCACGGCATCACCACCACTACTGTTATTATTATTGTTATTATTACTTATTGATTAATTCTAAATGATCCATTAACATATGAATTCATGTTTGAAGTAACACAAAAGCTTTATGAGTGATATTTGAGGGGGGAAATTCACAACAGCAAGAAAAAAAAAAAAAAAAAGTCCCAGAAGGTTCCGGATCATTTAGATAAACCGGCATGGATCGGCTCACTGATTGGCTCATTGATCAGAACTCTGAGTCCAACTGCGACTTTTACTAAAATCATAAGAAAAAAAAAACATATTTATTGTGATTAAACTAACAGCCAAAATCTTTATTTGCCTCTTTTGATTATTTTCTGTTATTCAGCAACAAAATGTTTTGATATTTTTTGGTTTTGGTTTAAAGTTTCCATAAAAACGAGTTTGTAAGCCTGAAATTCCCTCAAATTTAAGTTTCAAAATGTATTTTATTTTTTAAGGCAGCAACCAAATTATTTTCCTAGTTGATTATTCTGACAATCAATTAATCATCAGAATAATCGATTATTCTGACGATTAATCGGTTACTAGTTTCCCAGAATAATTGATATCATTGGTGTTTACCGATTAATCATCAAAATAAGCGATTAATCTGGAAAAAAATTACACATCGTTCAGATTGTCCGTTTAACCACTAAAACCTTTTTATATAATATTAGAATAAATTATAAAATTTCTTTTTAAAATAAGAAAATAAAGATTTTATTGCCTAAAATCCAGTAACTTAGCATTACTTTAGTGAATTTGAACCAAACTTCCACTGATGTGTTTCAGTTTAATTTATATTTTTGTGCAGTTTTAGCTTAATTACTGCTGCGAACATGGATTTTCACTTGGAGTTTATATTCTCCAGTTAATCAGATACTAAATTAGTTGCTGATTATTTCAATAATGAATTAATCCAATTAATTGTTTCAGCCCGAATATTTTAGTTTTAGTGGGAAAATGTGGAAAGTTGCCAATGTTTGAATTAAAGAACCACAAACTGGACAAATCTGTATTTTAACCAACTAAATTCAGGATGTTTTTCCTCTGAAATATTATCATGTCTATATGTGCTGTTTCTGTTGTATATTTATTTTGGATATTTAAAATGTCTTCCAGTGTTAAATGTTCATTAGAATTTAAAGTTGTTCTTGCATTTTTATGCCATTACCGTCATATTAGTAAAAAATGGTTATTGATTATGGCAATAACGTCTGGGACAATTTATCGTCTGGGTCGGATCTGTGTTGATCGGACTTCATGAAAAGATCGGCTGCAGGGTCGCATTAAGACAGAAACACTGAATTTGGGTCGCAGTGTGGACGTGAGTTGTTTGCGATGTGAGTTGAAGGTCAAAGGTCAGAGCTGCTGATTAAAGAGCTGATGAGCCGAAATGTTTCAGCGATCCGGCATCAGCGAAAGCGGGGCGGTTCTGTAATGGCTGAAAGTGGATTAAAGAGATGGGCCTGGGTCTGACTTGAGGTCAGGGGTCGTGAGGTCAGAGTTCTGGACGCCTAGAGGTGACTGGTCGGAGGCGATGGGTCAAGTGGAGCTGTCCAGTAACTGTCTGAGGGCCCTCTCGATGTTGATGCGGTGGCCCAGTCTGGTGACGCCCAGCTCCACGTAGTCCTCCTTGGTGAGCGCCGGCAGGTGGGACCCTTCGATCTCGTGCTCCTGGAAGCGCTGGCGGTGTTCGGCCAGGCCCATGCTCTCCAGCCAGTCGCCCACGTCGTACTTATTCCACAGGTTGAGGGGCCGCTGCCTCCAGGGCCGCAGGGCCAGCAGGGGCCCGCTGAGGACCGGGGAGGGGCAGGGCGAGGCGTGAGGCGAGGGCGAAGGCGAGCGGGATCTGGTTCGAGCGCTGGCGCTCCTCATGACGAAACGGACCTCCTTTGGTTCTGACGGCAGGCTGAGACTTGAAGACTTGAGGATGGTCAGGCCTCGACCCGAGCTCAGGTCGGGCCGCTCGGAGCAAGGCGCCGGCGAGGAGCCCAGACCCATGGACCGGTCTGAAGGGGAGGGAGACGGGGACGGGCTCCGACGGGTGACGGGGTAACGGCTTCCTGGGCGGACCGTGTAGCTGGCGCCGTATCCTCGCTGGGAGATGGTGTGAAGTTCACCGAGGCTGGAGAACAACCTGCAGGACATCAAACAGGAAGTCACTCAAACAGTTTCCTTACTGGACCATCGGTGACCTTATCGGACCATCGGTGTCCTTAGTGGACCATTGGTGTCCTTAATGGCCTACTGATGTCCAAGAAGGATCCCGATTGGTGTGATTAGTTTTACTCAAGCTTTTAAACTTAAATGTACCTGGCGCCCCCTACAGGAGACCTGCGGCCCGGGTCCAGTGGACTCGGTTCTTCCCCCAGAGAGTGGCTGTCTTTGTTGAGCAGCTGTAGCCGATTGGCCAGGTCCAGTCCCGACCCGGCCCGGCCGCTCAGCTCCAGGGCGGATGCCGAGCGGGCCGTCAGGTCCACTGCCGACCCGGAGCTCTGTCCTCCCAGCGCCGCCGGTCGGCCGCCTTCATCAGGGCTGAACCCGCGCCGCTCGTCGTCCCCGCCCCCCCACAGCTTGGACCGCCTCTGGAACAGGTAGCGAGGCTGCCGGCTGCCGCCGCTGGTGGGGGAGGAGCAGAGAGGGGAGGAGGGGGAGGAGGAGGCGGCGGAGGGGAGGAGCTCGCTGTCGGACGACTGCTTTAGCAGCGGGTCGCGCAGCGCGGAGCGGCCGCGGCCGATCGGCGACCGCAGGCGGGGCTTCAGAGCTGATGGGGAGGTAGCGGAGGGGGAGGGGGCGGGGTGAGCAGCAGGAGGGGAGGAGGGGGAGGTCGGGGCGGGGGGGGACGCCAGCGTGATGGACGGAGGGAGTGAACTGGGGGACAAGGAGCTGTCATGAAGACGCTCGTCGCCTCCTTCCTCCTCGTCTCCTCGCTTTCCCAGGGACTCCGGGCCGCTCTCCCCTCCCCCCTCTCCTCCTCGCCGTGGCAACAGGGACAGGGAGGAGGGGGGAGGCGGGGCAGGGGGGCTGGCGAAGCCGGGGGGCGGAGTCACCAGGCCGATCCTGCGCAGCTCCTCCCTGGTTTCCTCGTCGCTGGAGGACAGCAGGGCAGGCGGGAGCGTCACGGTGTAAGCCCCGCCCTCCTCCTCTGAGCTGCCAACCGTGAGGCTTCGCCGCCGGTCGACCAGCGCCGAGTGGCTCTCATTGGCCAGCGCTGGCAGAGGGGAGGGTCTCCATCGTTCGGGGGAGGGGGCGGCGGGAGACGTCACCCCCCCCTCGGTCTCGGGTCGCTCCACCTGTCCGTCGGGGAACAGCGGCGGCGTGATTCGCTTGTGCCTCAGCTCGGGGCTGGTCTGAGGCGTCGAGTGTTTGGTCCGCTGCTCTGGACTCGTCTGAGGAGAGGTGCGCTTGGATCGAGGCTCGGGGCTGCCCTGTGGGGTGGTGAACGGGGTGCGTTTGTGTCTGGTCTCTGGACTGGCAGCCGGGGTGGGGACGGGCGTGGTGGAGGCAGAGGAGTGTTTGATTCGAGGCTCGGGACTCGGCGTTCGGGCGGTGAGCGCTCGCTCTCTCGCGGCGAGAGCCAAGGCGAGTGGAGACGATGGATCTGAGGAAACAAAACCGGGGAAACGTTTAATCAGGACTGGATTTGAATATCACATGTTGGTGAAAAAGCAACATGTACAGTTTTCTGAGCTCCATTTAGTCTGAAATCTGTTTTATTTAGCCGTTATATTTATGGAGTGCATCAAGGCCGTGTCCTCGGTCCCACTCTGGTTTTTGTTGTTTTTAATTTGAAGGTCTTCTCTGAATCGATGGCAACAACTCCATGTGTTCAAGAACTTGACAAGATTTACTATATTAAATAATATAAGTTAAAATGACAAAACCTAAGTAGCAACTTTTCTATGGGTCTTTAAGGATTTTTGCCTTTGCAAATTGAGTACAGATGTAGTTGTATGTTTTCCTGTAGGAGGCGCTGTTTTAAAGGAGTTTTGCTGTTTCTTCAGCAATAGAAAACATTTTTCCAAACCCGGTTTACAATATTTTAAGAACACAAGATCTTACAAAGTGCTTTTGATTTAGTTTCTAACTCAAATATCTTAGTTTGGACTTATTTCAAATGTACAAACTAAACTAAACAACCGACGATGCTTGGAGAGATTTTGCGGTTTTACAGTGCAGTATTTGAATTTAAAGCTACATTTAGGCACAGTCTCCACAGAAACACAGTTTTAGGGAACCATAAATAATTTTTTTTTAATCGAGTTACACAACAAAAATCGAAAATGCCTCATAAATAACACTAATGGCAGATAATTGTTTTGTTTCCGTCATTTCAAGTTCATGAAATCCTCTCTGCGATTACACTTTGTTGTTCTCCGTTCTTGTGTTTACCGCTAACCGTTTGAGGAAGTTTTATGGCTTGTACTCCATGATTAGCGCCGCCTACAGGTGTGTGGAGAAAAACAAGCATTTTATGTTTTCTGTTTCTGTGGGGATGAAAACATTTCTGGAAACACTCCCATGTGAACAGAGTCTAACGTTGCTCAGCATTAAACTTTAAGGACGTTTTAAATTTAAAAAGAAATAAATTTTAATTTTAAATAGTTTTATTTATATATATATGTTTTCCTCAAATCCCTCACACTAAAACCATGCGGTCAAATATTGGAACTGTTGTCTGAAACAACTAGAGCAGGTGTCAAACTCAGGGCCCGGGGGCCAAATCTGGTCCGCCACAGCGTCTTTTGTGGCCCTCTAGACTCATAAGTAGAACCCTTAAAATTATATCAGTCAAATCAAAGCTGTTTTTATCTGCTGCCAAATTTAGGTTCCTCCAGTTTTTCTGCAAAATCAACAGATCATTGCGGGTTTTTTTGTTTTTGTATTAATGAATAATTGTGTTGAGTTTATTGCAAATTTTCCACAAAAATTGGTAAAAACCATTTGGTTTGAGTGATGCTAACTCCCACCTGCAGGTGGTGGTAATTCTTACTTTAACGTCGCTGCTGACTTGTCTTAATTGATGTCAAGTTATAGACTGTGATCGATTAGCGGAAATATCACTAATATTTCTACTACACAAAACTAATTTCAAAAATGACAAAAACAATGAAACCCTGGAGGAAGTGGTCAATGTGAAGAGATGTTCAATATTATTTAATTTACTGATCGAATGCAGAGACATCTATTAATAACATTCTACACTGCCGGCCCTTTAAGAACATTCATGACCTTGACGTGACCCAAAATGAAAATGCGTTTGACCTAGAGGTTTCCCCGTCAGCGGGTGGAGGAAGGTGTGCGGCGTCGGTGACGGCGACAGGACCGGCGCCGGAGGCGGCAGCTCGCCCAGGTCGTCCATGGAGTGGCTCTGGGTAAGGAGGGGCGGAGCCTGGCTGTCCGACCCCGCGCCCTCCACAGACAGGAAGAGAGAGGAGCGGCGACCCTGAACTCGGGCGCGCTCAGACAGAACCTGCTGCTGGTACAGCTCGGCTCGGCTCGGGCTCATCAGTCCGCTGCCGTCGGGTTTGGACGGATCGTCTTTCATCCCAATACCTGAAAGGAAAGAAACTGGACTGATTCTGAACAGAGAGGCGCCGCAAACATTTCAGGTTCCTGCTGGGAGGTTTGACCTCCAGGCGACCTCAGGATTCAGAGATGAAGATGTTTAAAGTGATGATGAAGGACAGAATCACCAAACGTTCACAGTTTGAACAATTTAATGACCACAGAGCAACAAAGTATTAGCAGGATACATTTAAGCCAGATTAGAAAACGGCCTATTTAAAACATGTTAGCATAGTGGCTCACGCTGCATTTTCTGTTAGAACGCCTCGCTAAAGTACTCTCACATTTTATCGCATTACAGCCGTAAACTTTACCGAATTTATGCAACAGTTTCTAACCATAAAGAAAAAATATACATTATTTCCAGGGATTCCTTCAGAAAACCTGTTGCTGCTGCTAGGGGGCGCTAGAGCGCCACCGTGTTTCCCATTAATAATCGATTGATCCAAATAAAGAGATCAGCCCTTCACTGTTTAGATGCTAAAAGTATTTTTTAGCTGCTGGTTATTCGTTTGCTACAAATGATGCGTTCGCTAAAGGAATGCTGTTAGTGCACTTCAGGCAATAAAATGTTTATGTTCTTACTTAAAAAAGGAATTAAGTTGCATATTTTCTCATCTTTTAATGTATTTTTAATATTATATAAAAAGGTTTAAGTGGTTAAATGCAAATCATTGTTTCTTCCTGTTGGTTTATCTCTTGGTGTGGATACTTTAGCCAGGCGCTTTGACCTCTGTGAAGGTCGCGCGTTCTACTCTGGATGACGAACAACACAGTGAAGTCAGACAGACGATGACGGGCGATGCTAACCCTGCTCCTCAACAGGAAGTTGTTTCAACAGAGGAGACTTCCTCCTCTGGGGCTTGTTAGGCGCGGCTTGATGTCCCACGTTGGCATACGGGTTTTCTATCGGTCGTCCCCGGCGACGGGACAGCGGCGAGTGTCCAAGGGCGGGGCTGGTGCTGTGGAGGGACAGTGTGGAGGTCTGCGTGGCGGTGTGGAGCGTGGCGCCGGCGGCGTGTCCGTCGGGCTGCGGCGGTGGCGTGTCCTGCAGGATGATCATGGACCGCGCTTTGCGCTGGCGCTCGGCGTGGGCGTGGCTCCTGGCGTCCGACAGCTCCTGCAGCCGCGGCTCCGCCCCCGGCTTGAAGCTGGAGCGAGTCAGGCCCTCGCCTCGGGCCGGCGGCGGCGGCGGTAGGAAGGACGGCGGCGGGCCGGAGTCGAAGAGGTACAGCGCAGAGGGGGACGGCGGCGGGGGCGGCGCCGTCTGAGGGGGCGGCGGGATGGAGCCGTCCGTCAGAGACGAGCTGCGAGGGAAACGGCTCTCGTGGATCAGAGCCGATATTCTGTCGTCGTCCGGCGTGCCTGTCGAGGTAACCATGGAAACGGGAGCATAAACAGCTGAGAAACGTTTAGAGTAAATCCCACCCCTCCAAATCTAACAAAAATTGGATCAAAAGTTGATGCAGCAAAAAAAAATAAATAAATTTGGGCTTCTTCAATGTCAAGAGATATTTATGAAAATGTTTCTAGAGGTCATGAAAGGTCAACCAGCCCGGGGCAAACCTTCAAATCAGGCAAAAGTGGCGTCAATCAACGCAGCAACGTTTGTGCAGCAAATGTTTCGTTTTTGCTGCTTTTGCTTTGAAGAAATAGTGAAAGTTTAAAGGTCAAAAGGTCAATTTGCCCCACCCATATTTCACCAAATACAAAATTGGTGTCAGAATGTTTTGTTTGTTCTTCATTAGAGGTCATCAATATCTTCAAAATAAAAGCAGCACAATTGAAATTTAATGCTGCTCAAACGTAGATGAGTTGATTGATGTCAAATATTTCTGATTTTGTAAAGTATAGGTGGGGAAATAGGGGTGGTGGTTGACCTCTGACCTTTGGAAACATTTTTATCTTTTGAAGTAATGGCAGCACAAATTTAAATTTGTGCGGCTCAAATGTTTGACACCATTTTTGGAGAAGGCGGGGGGGAAACGTCACTCAGGCGGCGGAGAGTTGACGGGTCTCACCGAAGCTCTTGGTTCTGGACATCCCTCTGGGCAGCGGCATGGTGCTCTTCTCCGGGGCGGAGGGCGGGACCAGACCCTGGCGCTCAAACAGAGACTGCAAACACAACACGCTCTTTAGCTCCCCCACTGGAGAAAACTGGAACTGCTGCAGTCACACAGCATGTCTTGATGCTTAAGTCACATATTTTGCTGAAATCAGATTTTTTTTGCATGTTTTTTCACATTAATATATATTACTGAGTTGGACAGCGCCGATTAGCCACTGTAGCTAATAACCAACAAGATTTCACCTAGAAACGCCCGGTGGTAGAGGGCAGTCCTCCAGCACACTACTGCGCTTTTGAGTTAAAAAATGTTTAAAGTTGACAGGAAATTTTAAAATACGTAAGTATGTGTTATTGGAAGAAAACCCTAACCATAAAATCTTAAACAAAACGCAAACATGAAAAGAAATAAAAAGTCCAATTTTTTATCCTTTATCCATGATTCGTCACTTTATTCGCTGACGTTAGCATGTAGATCAGTAAAGACAGGAAGTTTCAGTGAATAATAAAATCTTTAATAAAGTTTAGCCTGGCAGGATGAAAGTACAGCCTGGTAGGCCACCAGGCTGATAAAACACTGAGGGAATCCCTGAACCAAGGTTATTCGGTTTTTGTTAAAAATAAAAACTGAAAATAATTTTTATTTCTGTGTAGTTTGTTTCACGCCAATCATGGGAGGTTAGATAGTTTTTTGTTTTGCTGTTAGAATCGTTCATCAATCCGTAGAGTCGCTAATCGTTTTCCACTCGTCTTACGTTGATCTCCGCTTGCGTGATGCGTCGGCTCATCGGCCGCTGCTTGACCGTCGCCGCCCTGAAGTCGTCGGAGGGGCGGGCCCTCAGAATCACTTCCTGTTGACTGCCGGCCAGCATCTCGTCCAGTTTCTCTGCAGGAGGAGAAAAACATCAACAAATTGGAGGACAAACACAGAAAACACGACAAATGCAACAGAGACGCCACCACAGAGCGACTCATCAGGGCCGCAGAAACAAACATGGCCGACGGCGACTTCTCTGTTAAACTGTGACGTGATTTTCTGAAATGAAAATCTGTTTGAAGATCAGTTCTGACACAATTAGAGCTGTCACAATGAATCATGATAAATTACTTTCATTTCTGATGATTGTTTTTTGAAGGGCAATTTTGTGTAGAGAAATTTCATAAACCATTTTATTTATGGTTTTAGTTGTGGTGCTTTGATTTTATTTACTATCCAGTCTTACATTTTCTTTAGAAATTTAAAGTTTATGGTCTTTGAGAAATCAAACTTGCATTATTCTAAACTTCAGGATTGTTGGACCATCTGGTCTGTTGTGGTTCTGCTGGTGTGACCTTTGCCCTCTCGTGGTTGGTGTTGGTTCTGTGGAAATGTTTTAACAGTCAAATTTTAGGGATTCAGATGCATTTTTAAAATCTTAATTCTCAGTTTCAGTGCTGCATTTGAAATCTGATGAAGCACACAGATGTCAGCTGTGCTTAAAATGAATTTACTTTCCACTAGAGTGAGAGAGAGCAACACATTCAGTAGATAACAGGAAGGTTGGATGGAAAATACTGGATTTAAATTCTGCAGTTTGCTGTAGAATTTATGAACTTGTTGAGCAGAACTGCTTGTTGTTTTTTTTTAAATTTTATGACAAATGCATCATTGATCCTAAGGGGAAATTAAATATTGTTGTAACGTATTTAATTAGAGTTGCTGTAGATGTTGATGGCTGTGGGCAGGAAGGATCTCCTGTAGCAGTCAGTATTGCAGCGAATTTGAAGAAGCCTCTATTTTTCAATGGTATAATTGCTCTGAATTCCCAGTAATATTCTTTTAGATTTATTTCTTTTGCATTTAGTTTGTAAACCGGCTGTCCACAGAGGAAAATTTATTCGTTCTCTTTTGGGTGAAAGTTTTTACTTTTCTATCTTTATGTTTGAAGATTTTGATTTTGATTTCACTGAAACAAAGTCAGAACAGGTGAAGTTTAGATTTTTAATCAACTTTTATTACTGATAAATAGTTGTTCTGCCTGAGGTTTAACATCTAAAAGAATAAAACAGATTTACTGACATTTTAAAATATCCAAGTATTTATTTTCCTTATTTTGCTTTTATTTGGTGCTAATAGAAAGTGGGCTCACAAACGTCTAGGAGTATTTACTAAAATAAAAACAAAAAATTAGGAAACGGCATGTTTTATTAAAATAATGAATGTTTATTGCTGAACAGCTAAAAAAACCTGCAGTTCTCAGTAAATGTGTCAGAACCGTCGGCTCGGTTCTGAATGTTTTGGTTCCTCAGAAGTGTTCAGCTGCGGCTCTGAAACGTCACAAACACCAATCAGAGACGCACAGCGTAGCTCCGCCTCCAGGTGTTTAAATCTCAGGCTCTGATTGGCTGAGAGGAGGAGAACGCTGTGCGTTCCGGACATTACAACACAGAACCTGACCAGAACCACACTGAGGTCCAAGTGACTCACCGTAACGGCGCCTCCTGGCTGCAGACAGAGCAAACATCAGCAATCAAAATGATCAGTGTGTTTTAACTCTGAGTTGGTTTTTAACTCTGAGTTTCTTACCGATCTCCTCCAGGTCGGCCGTCATGGACTTGGACCGCAGCGTCAGCGACGTGCTAGGGGCTCGCTTCGGAGGGGGCGGAGCTAAGAGGTAGGAAACAGAAAGTTACCATGAATTGGTTCAACAGAGCCGGACTTTAACTGTCAGTCAAGTCCAAATGGGTTTTATGTCCTGACAGGAGTTACTGTTAAACATCATGTTAGATATTTTATTTAGTTTTATTTTAAGATGGAGAACCAACAGATTGAATTACCGTATTCTCTGGTCTGAGTCGGTTTTTTCTGATGCCTTTTAAAATCCGTATAAAAACTCATTTTTCATTAATTGGCTTTCAACCCATTTTTTATTATTTTAACTGTGAAACTGTCGCTTTACAGTGTTTTTAATTCATTATTGTGTGCTTGGCTTTGTTACCTTCTTTTGTGTTTGTTTTTATTAATGTGCACTGCAAAAACATGAAAACATACCAAGTATTGTCTTGATCTTGGTACAATATTTTAGTACACTTGAAAAAAGACAAAACCAACTTATAAGTAGCTTTTCAGTAAGTTTTAATGAATCATTTCTTAACATTGAAAAAATACTAATTCCACTTGCAAATTTAGTATAAAAAATGTTGCCAGTGGAACTGGAACTTTTTATCAATATTCAATTATTCACTTAAAAACTCTCATGTTTGGCAGAAAAGTTACTTCTTTTATTAAAGGCTAGACAAAAAAAAAAAAAAAAAAAAAAAAAAAAACTTGGAAAATTTTTGGTTTTTTGCGGGGCGTTTGAAAAAAAACCC